GAGGCTAAGAGATAACCCCAGAGCTCAGGAAAGCAGCTGAAATTCTGCGCTTTCAGCTTCCAAACACTATTTGGGATGAAAAAAAAGCGCTGCAGAGGGAGAAGTAATTCTTGAAAAGGTCAGGAGGGATCCTATCAGCATGGATTAAAGACAGATTAAATTCTCCCCAATACTACCAGTACACTGAATGCTGCTGTCCACACACACCTTCTCACAGTGAGAATGTGAGACCTTCTCTGATTCTCACAGCTCAAAGTTTGCAGGCAAAGGGCAAAATACACCGATGGATGGACGCCCATGCTGTACACTTGATTGCTTTTCTGCCCAGCAGAAACAGCACTACTCACCTCAGGGAGAAACAGGCAGGTGAAATGTGAGCTTTGGTGTCTCTCCTTCTCCTCTCTGTGCCCCTCTGTCCTGTTCCCGAGGTCAGCAGTGCCCCAGCCCCGGAGCCACAAGCAGGTGGTGCCATCAGCCCACTGTGGCTCCGTGCCTTCCAACAGCACCACACTGACCCACTCCTTGCACCTGACTGTGACATTATACAAAACAAAGCTATTTAGGAAAAAAAAGGGAAGAATTTTTCCAAAGCCTATGAGATTTGAGTGGGTTTCAAATGCAAAGCTGATTCAACAAGTGGACAGGACGATTTTGCCAGCGCTCAGTTCTAAGTAGAGACAGAGCTCAGGCAAGAAGTATTTCCCCAAATCCAAATAATCCTTGGTTTTGTAGTCTTTTCTATGTTTCTTCTTTGGTTTGTATTGCAGTATTTCCTTCATGTCTTCGCAGTGAGGCTTCTTTGTGACCACTCGCTGTACATGTGCCAGATCCTTGTGCACCAAGCACTCATCATCCTCAGGATGCACATTAGGATTCAGCCAGGACAAAATCTACTAACAATGGCTTTCATTTTTCAGCCCTTACCGGAAACACAATCTTCTTCATTCCCTCTCCATAGACCACATTTTACTTTCTTGGTGCCAGTAACATCTCAGTTAAATGCTGGTTTTTATCAGAAGCTTTTCGAGGGGTTGAAGCTGCCTCTCCCTGTTCATTGATTCTGGCTGTAACGAGCTGTGCAGCCTTCTAGTGAAGGCTCCTTTCCAAACTGAAATGGGAGTGGCAAGACCAAAGACAAGCTCCTTAATTACTGAAATTCATTGCTGGCATCTCAGACCGTCTGTCTGCTGGGGTTGGAATAGAGGAAGGAGATGGTATTTAGAGAGGCAGGAATTCAGGAATTAGCAATCCTCAAGCCTACAACCGAATGTAATGTGCTGATGCCTGGCTGAAACTCTTGGCAGTTCACCTGGGCGATGCTGAAATGCTCCAGCAGCTCTGCTGGGAAATAAACAGAGCCAGACAGGTACAGGCTCTATAAATGGATCCCACCTGCAGAGCCCATCGGGCCTCCTGACAGATGCACATCTTGCAGGCTGCTGCCATTTGCTCTATTGTACAGTCTCAGGGATAGTTAATGTTTGAAGATTAAATAGGCTTTTCAAGCAGGCTTTTAACACCGTGAGACAGTCCTTTCCAACAGCACTTCTTGCACATTTGGAATTTCTGATTTATTTTGTCTGGTTTTAATCTGATCCCTTGCTTCAGACTCATTCGCAGAGTGCAAACTGTGCTCTCATCCAGAGGGACTCCTTCCTTGAGATTATTTTGATAAATGTTTGTACTTGGCTTCCTACCCATTTGAATTCCTAAAGGGAAAATTCTCCCCAGGAAATCTATTGATGTTCAAAGGATGGAGTCTGAAGGATCTGAAGATCCAAATCTCAGCACTTTATCCTTCCAAGGATGAGAAACCAAGATTTTCTAATGGCAAGTCTCACCACACCTGCTGGGTACAAGTTTTGGGTTTTCCTCAGAAGGAACTGACCACACAGGCTAAATCTTGTCTTTCTTATCTCTTTTATGTTTGCTTGCCTTCACACAATGACTGTGTTCTTGCAAAGAACTTAGGAATAAAAGTAATGAAAGTTATGTACACAGCAGTAATGGACAACGTAATTAAATGACTAACAATCAACTGACTTGTTATGTGCCTTAGTTTTGCCACTTGGGATAAGATATTTGAACTAAAATGGGTCTCATCCTACCTCTGTGATGGCAAACCCAGGCAAAAACCCCATAACTTTTAGTCTTAGGCAGTTCTGTTCAATTTACCATGATGGCATTTGCAATAAGTTAGGCAACACCACATCTCTCAAGTGAAAGAAAACGAAGGGAAACAGCTGTGTGGGGCTCTCTCAGGAGTGCTGGAGCCTGGGGAACCTGGGGACAAACAGCTACCATCTGTGCCATTTTGGAAGAGTGCAGAACAGCTTTTGAGTGCTGAGAGTGTGGGATTTTTTTTGCCATTTGATGAGTTAATTCTGACTGTCATTAGCTTCAAGCTCACAAGGTGAGCAGGACCTTTTCACACGCTGCTCAGCTTATCTGAGGCTCTATGTTGTGCACCTGGAGTAGACAGGGGCGATTTTTTAAAGCGTGGCATGGAAAGGGGGGGAGGTAACGCTGAGAGGAAATCAATACCTGGGAAATTGCTTCAGGATCCTAACTCTGTCCTTTGTCAGTGAAGGATTGGCACTGAAATAAAAGCAACTGGCATGTGCCTCACCCAAGGACCCAGGGAGGGTAGGTCTGAAACCCAGCTGTTCCAGCTGCAGTAGATACCTGTGGCACTCCTACCTGGCTGCAGATTCCATCAGGCTTGCACTGGTGTAGGCTCAGGTTTAGAGGGCAAAAAGAGAGTCACCCACTGCACACTGCTAATGTGAAGTGATCTGTGGGAGGAGATGAGTGTTAAATACCTCTGGTTTGGGAGCCAGTGGATGCTGACAGAGCCTGGAGGGCTTTCAGAAATTTCTGCTGCCTCCCTCAATTAATCTGAAGTCGTAAAGAGAGCTTGGTGTTGTGAGCCTTGCTGTGTCCAGCTGTGCACGACATGAACCCAACCCAGGCAGCACCAGGAAACCCCTGGGATGATGGAGCTTTATACAGCCTTCTCTGAAAGCAGCTTGCTCGAGATCTGAACATGGATCACAGCCCTCCTAATCCAAGCTGGGCAGCAGGCAGCTATAAACAAGTCAGTTATAGACTCATTCTCCTTGATCTGAGAGGTACTGCCTGGTATTGAACAGCAGCTCTGTGTAGGGCATGGGACGAGGTGGAGGGAGAATTAGCTCAGAACCACACTGTAGGATAATACCTTGAAATAGCTCTCGACTGGTTTAACAGCACGGTCTGATTCGTCTGTTCAGCCAGTGCAGCACCAAGACAGTGGAAGAAAAATAAGTCACGCTGAAAAATTAGTGCAACCGGCCTCACACACGAGAGAACACGAACAGATTGTTTCTGAAAAGCAAACAAAATCCCTTTCCAGTTTGCAGAGAGCGTGCAGCTGTGTGCACCAGGACAGGGATTTTGGGAAACCTGCTCTGTGCAACCCAGAAATCCCCTTCTCCAGTGCCCACCAGTGGATGACACAGATGATATACCTGCCTGATTTGCACGGCAGATCCTCTCCCCATGAACAGCCTGGCACCCTTTCCTTTCACAGCTGGAGGAAGGCAGTAGTTCTTGCTTTTCTTCATGTTGTTGTTCTGTTTCTGGATTCCAGTGGACAGGCCCAGGTCAGATGCTCAAATCTGGGGCCAGCTCAAGCTCCTGCTTTGGTCTGCTCAGTCTTTTTTTGTGATTTCTCTGGCCTGATCCTGATTAGATACCAAGGGGAATGTGAGCCTTTGGAGTGCTCAAAAGCAGGGGGGAGCCCAAAGGCATTGATGTACACGTGTCCAGGTACAGAGAGACTGTTGTTTAACACCAGAGTAACTCGGTGTTCTGAGCTCCCTCCAGCCTTTCCAGCTGTGGGGTTACTCTTACTGGGAGCCCACACCTTGGAAGAGGGATGTTGCTTCACTAAGCAGCAAGCCATAATCACAGTGCTGATTTCTCAGCCCAGCAAGAAGCAGAGGGGCAATGGTAGAGAGTTAGACCAGCACTGGATGCTTCTGACCCCCTGCACACACAGGCACCCACGTGCACTCCAGATGCTCATCCTTCCTGCAATCCCTCTCTGCCCCCAGCAGCTGGGATGGGCTCTGGTGCAAGGTGAAGGCAGGTATGAGTCATCTCACCTGCTGAAACTTCTTCCCAGCCTCGAGTCACGAAAGCCCCGAGATGGGAAGGGTCTGGGTCCCCACATCAATTCTGGGTGTTGTAAAGTCCGTATGAAAAATCTGGCAGGTGGAGCTCACGCTGACACCTCGTTTTTAGGTCCTCTGAACCGTCCCGGTCTTCTTGGCAGCAAGGCTCTGTGTTCTTTTTAATGGGGCTTTCATAAGCCTTGTTCCAGGAATGAAAACAGCTGCCAGAGCACGCAGCACCCCAGGGAAGATCCTTGCCTTTTTCCAGAGCACATGAAGGGAGCAGGGCTCTCCGGCTGCTCCGTGGGCTGGATGTGAAGCTGTGGTGTTTGCGAGGGGCTGGAGCATGAACTGCCCTGCTAATGCAGGTGTGAGTAACAAAGGAGAAGGAGGGAAAGGCTGATAATCAAAGAAAAATGGAACAGCAAAAAGATAAACCCTCCTGCTCATGCGGTGTGAGAAAGCATTAATGGTTAACCCACTCACTGTAGAGTAGAAGGAAAAAACTGCAATTGCAAAGGGAAAGGGAAGTTTACCTTTCAAAGCGTATTTTTCATTCACTCTGCCAGATTATTGCTGGTTTTATTTGCTCTTCACTCTTTGAGGGATAAAGAGAAAGTGTGCAAATGACCCTCGATTACAGGCACAACCCTCTCCCTGCACACACACACACACACACACACACACACACAAAGAGGATGCTAAACACAGCCTTTGAAATTCAGGAGGATAATTGATGCTCTGACGCGTGGAAGCCCACAGGACTCCTGAGGGAGCACAGGTATAAAAAGCAGAGCTGCACCTCTCTGGCAGCCAGAGGACAGCTGTGGGGAGGTCCGAGAGTGTCCTCCCTGCTCAGCACAGTGCGGGGGGCACAGAGCCAGCAGCTCACAGAGGCAGCTCCAGAGGAGAAGTTGTATTTGCAACAGGGGAAGGAACACCTGGGCAGGAGCTGATCTAGGAAGTGCCTGTCATCTACAGGAACGGTAAGTGGGAGTTCTCTATGTGTTTAATAAGATAATGCCTATTCAGAAGTTGGAGATAATTAAATGGTACTGAAATGCAATCAAATCTGGCACCAGGAATTAGCTTTGCCACGCACAACAGCCTTTGTACCATACCAAGTTTTGTTCCAAGATGTTTTTGTACCAAGTCGCAGAAGGAAACAGTAAATGAACTGCAGGATAAATGAAAATCAACAGAATTATGCTATAGATGAGCTTTGTAAAAACATGTTAGACGTTTACCAGCTGTAGCACAGTTTTTCTCTTTTGCTATACTGATGTGAGTCCCTTTTACCCTGGCAAATGAACAGTGTTTTACTCACCCAGCAATGAGACTGTGTTTGAGCCACAGCCCAGTGTGAGGAGAAACACCAGGGTGTGTTCCAGGTAACGTGAAGCCAAACAACGAGGCAGAGGGAGGTACTGGAAAGGATTTCTGCTTTTCTACTGTAGCATTTCAGAGTATAAAAGTCTCAGCTTTCTAAAACAGCAGGCATGGCAAAAGCTTCATTTCATCTACAGAGGGGTATTTTTAAGACAGCTCAGGCTGAGGCTTCAGAAGTGGTGAGAGAGACCCATCTCTCCAACATCACTGTCACAAACTGCTGTTCCCGCTGCACAGGATGGAGAGAAGCTATTATGCTTCATCTGCTGGAATGGTGCTCAACGCTCTTCATCTTAAGGGGAATTCATTTATTAATCTTTTTTTCACATGCTGCTAGAGTGGAAAGTGAGCTGTCCCTCACCTCAAGAGAATTTGGCAGGTGACAATGTTTTGCAGAGCTGTCAAGCTGCCTCCATGCAGGGTGACACTTCAATTCCCCAGCTTCTCCTCTGAAACAGCAGACACTTCTGGGAAGGGGTGTGGGACTTCCATTTCAGATTTATTCCCGAGGGAAAAAGGGAGGCAGACATACCCAAAAAGCTGAATGAGAAGCAGGCTGTAGCTAAGGGAGAGAAGGCAAAGCAAGACAGGGGAAGAAGGACAAAGCCAGAAACAAACAAACAAAATTGCAAAGAAACTATTAATAGAGAAAGAAAAAAAATACCTCAAAGGTTCAAAAAGTGATTCTGGAGAAAACCCCAACATTCAAAGAAGGGAAACCAGAGAAAGAAAGTGCTAATCAGGGCTGTGTGCTAGGAAGAGCATTTGGGCGAGGTTTGCATTTCCACTGGCACTTAACTTCTCAGCTCAAAGAGTAGCTTCCCTGGCACTGATTAAATCTCCTGGTTGGCACTTTCTATAGATGCTGGTGCCACAGTCTCCTGGTACCCCCTGACAGATGCTTTAGATAATTTCCTCTATCTAGAAAGATCTGGGATTTGCCTTGAAGATACTCAGGGACAGGCACAGAAAAGGCATGCTTTTTCAAGTTCAAATGAAAGAGGGGAAAAAAAAAAGAAGCAGTAAATTTGCTCTAAAGGTAGAAGCCCTGTGAGTCTCTCAAAGTCCCTTTTTTCCTTCTTTTAAGCATTCCTTGGCTCTCTGAGGGGCCCAAGTGATTCTGTAATAGAGCAGGAGTAGGGGATGCCATCCACGAGCACAAGAAGCTCTGCAGGAGTCAGGAGCTGCTGTGCTGCTCCCAGGGGGAACTGATGGGGAAGCCGCAGGTCCCTCACTGAGAGCACGAGCGGCTGGAAACAGACTGGGCTGAGAATGAGTTTGGGATAAGAAACCTCATTTCTCAGTGCAACACCTTCTCCCATGTCTATCCACTAATTCCATTATTAACTTCCACAGTGTCGAGATTGGACCCACTTGCAAGTCCTTAATGAGTCTCCCCTGGTCTCTGTTGACCTGCTCTGTCTGAGCAGTAAAGCAGAGCTCACTGCTGATGTTCTCCAGCAGAAAGGCCCTCCCATCAGTAAAACCTACTGCTCAGAAAGTTCACTTGGGCAGTCAGAAGCCCAACCAAACCCTTTCCATTTGGAAGCTGCTCCTTTTGCAAGAAAACATTGTTATACCTTTGGAAGGTTCCCCCCCCCCCCCCCCCCTACGGAGATCAAACACCTTTCTGCTCTTTTCTCCCGTAAAGTAAGACAGAGAACAGGGAAACTTGGTATTTTAAAGGTTTCTATCCACATTCTTAAAGAATCTTTTTTTTTTTTGAGCAAAAGATCAATCGCTTTCTATCAAAACTCAGGAAGAGCAGCAGTCACTGAAATGCCTTCCTACTGTCCCTCCTTCCAAGGACAAAAGCAGGGCACTCAGCTGTGACCTCAGGCCACTCTGTCCCGAGTCATTCACAGCCCTTCAGCCAACCCCAGGACAGGCTCAAGGGCTGCACACACTGCTCAGCCCATCCCACCTCCCACCACAGCTGATGCTCAGAGCCGTGAAGGCACCTCGAGGGTGGCAGTCCAGCCCCCCCAAGGGACATATTGCGGTCCCGTCCCCTCTCTCATGCACTGGGGAACACCCCGACCACAAACAGGCAAATTTCCAGGCCCTTTGTGCCAAAAAGTGAGCAGGGGGACTGAGAACATAAAGGTGGTGCTTGGCCTCCCCTCCTGGCCTGCAGCACCTCCCTGCCCTCAGACCGCTCTGTGTTTTAGGTGACTCCAAGGGGTGGAAGATGCTGGATAAGGCCACCCTGCTCCTGTTCCTGCATTTAGTTGCATGCTCCATCTCCTCTCCTCTCTACCCAGCTCTCAGGTAAGTGCTGGGTGCTTTATCCACACTGTCACTCCCCCCCTCATCTCTGACCTTGTGCAAAATAAGAACGTGCCAAAATAAGGTTGCCAGCACTTCTGAAAGCCAGCCAACTCTAAACTTGTTGCTAAGCCTATTTCTTTGCCCTGTCTCAATTTTTTTGGGGTACACTGCTAGCCTAGGGGTGGTTTCCAACGGGACGGGAATATTTTAGTCTGAACAGTTGGTTTTAGAATTGGATGCTGGGTTTTATAAAGGGAAATCTGGCAAACTCCAGAGCAGGCAGCACCAGCAGCTCCACCACTGATTAAAATTTGTGGCTGCAGGGCACCTGCATTGAAGTCAGAACTGTTCTAGCACACGACCTCAACAGCTGCCTATTAATATTTCAAATATTTCCTTGTCACCTCCTAGGAGTTGTAATATTTCTTCCTACCCCTACAAATCCACAGAAGCACAAAATCAAGCATTGGCTTCTCTAAGGTGGATCTGACTCGTCCCATAGAAAATGCTTTGGCACAATGACACCACAATCACTGGGATTTTGCTCAAGGATGCTGGGAGCTCAGTGAGGGGGAAGTGTGTCAGAGGCAGCTCTATCAGTCAATCTCTTCACTGCTCAAAGAGCTTCAGGGCACCTTCCAGCTGGAGAGAGTGATGGACAATACTTGTGTTAGGGATAAGATGGGATGGCAAAAGGAGAAAGAAAAAGGCAGAACAGGGAATAATGGTAAAGACTGAACCCCAATTGGCAACTGAGCAAACCTCACAGCATGCCTGGGGTTTGTCTTGCAGGTACAGTCCAGGGCCAGTTGCTGGCAAGGCCCTGAGCTTCCAGCTACAGCACAGCAGCCCACTGCAGAGCCAGAACCCCTCGGCAGAGGAACAGGAGGAGGAGGGTTTGTTAGCAGACCCCACTGAGAAAAGGTTTGTACCTCACCTGTCAGTCCTGCTGTTGTGGAGTGCGCTGGTTACAAACTCCCCCCAGCCCAAGAGCAGGTCGGTCAGTCCCAACAGCACCACAAAGCAGACAGAGGACTCATCCTTACAACAGCAGGACCAGTCAAGTGGCTCGTGCTTCCCTTATCTGTGGCTCGTCTGGAGTCTGGGTCTACCCACAGGCTAGAGAGCTGCTGGAGGATCCTGTCATCCTGTCCCAGACACAGTCCTCCCAGGAGATGACAGTGCTGCTGCAGAGCATGGGAATGTCCCAGCCCAGCCCTGCCCTCTCCCAGCCTGTGGTTCTCCTCCTTTCTACTGGTTCTCTGACCTCACCTTTGGTTTGTAGGCACTCCTCCTCACTTATTTTAGTGTGGGCTCTGATTAACAGACATTTGATTTTGCCTGCTGTCTCCATGTCAGGACTGAGCTCCCTCAAATCCCGCTACCCCACACCACCAGCACGGTCCAACACCAAAAGGCGTTAGGTGTGGTTACCTGCCCCTGCTATCAGCACCGTTACACCCAGGGTGTTATTTCTCACCTGGAGTGATCACTGCTGGCTCAGAGAGTGCTCTGTGGCTGCCTTTCCCCCCAGGATGCAGCGCCACGCCGATGCCATCTTCACCGACAACTACCGCAAATTCCTGGGGCAGATTTCCGCCCGCAAGTTCCTGCAGACCATCATTGGCAAGCGGCTCGGGTAAGCCCAGCACCCTGCTGTCCCAGGGCTGCTGTTTTCTTTGTTACAAGGGGCAGTTTCTTTCATGCATTAGCAGCAATAGGTGCCTTCCACTGCGAGAGAAACCATCTCTCCTGCTGTTCCATATCCGGAAGGGCATCCTGCATCCCTACGTCTTGGATCCCCCTAATCACAGCTATCATTAAGCAGCCTAATTAATCCTTTCCTCCAAGGCTGCAAGCATCAACTCAGCTGAGAGTTCTGCTGTAATATCAACAAGCAATAACATTAGCAAATAATAGTTGCTATGATCATTCACTGGTAGGAGAGAGTTATCCCTGGCCTGGTTTAAACACAGAAGGCAGCCTCTCCAGTACCTTTGGCTGGATAGATCACTGACTGCCACTGAGACCAACTGGTCAGATGTGAGCCAGCTCCAATCCATCTTCTAACAGAGGAGCAAATCCAGTGACCAGGCCTTACTGCAGTGAAGCAGAATGGCCCCAGGGTCAGACCCAGCAGCTTCCCTTGCTGTGCTGCTCAGCCTGAGCCAAACCTGGAGCGAGGCACAAAAAAAAGCATCTCTGAAACAAAGATGTTTCTCATCTCCACCCAACAGAAGCAGCAGGAGCAGCCCAGGAGAAGGGGTGCAGGAGTTCCTGACAAGGCGCCAGTCTGACAGCATCCTCATGGACAGCCGCTACCACCACCAGATGGTCCTCAGGGACTTCCTGGGAGCCATCCTGCAGAACCAGAGGTAGGTGGGAATCAGTTCATTATCAGCTCACTGCAGGAATACGACAAGGTCCTCATTGCTGTCTGGATTAAGTATCATTTCAGGTACAGTCAGGGAAAGAAGAAAGCTCTTACCTGAGCCCAAGCAGGGTGCAGATAAGGAACAGCCTGTGCTGAGCCAGCCCACACCACACACAGATTCTCAACCTCATCCTGCAGTAAAGCAGCAGGGGAAAAACAACTTCTCTCTTGATCCCAGTTACACCATCCCCGTCCTCTTCCTTGACAGGCCTCAGGACATCGACAGCAGTCGGTTAGAAGGCTTTCCCAGCACCCTGGCCAAGCTCATGTAAATACTTCTCCCTTTTCCATCTCCCCACGCTCTGGTGAGTAGCATTCCCTGCTCCATCCTGCATACACACTGCTGCACTGCTCAAGGTTTGCAGCCTCTCCTTCATCAACACCAGCCCCCTCTGCTATCCATGAAAAAAGGTGAATTTCAGGGGAAAAAATTCCAACCCAGAGCAGCCTTGTGAGCTTATCTGAGATGGTGTGCCTGGTCTAAGCCAGGCTAAAGGCAGATAAAAGTCTTCTCCCAGGAGCAAAACCTGCCTCTAGATACTTGGGACATTTCAGGTTTTCCTTGCACTGAAGTTTTACTGCTTTCTGTGCCCCTCACTCCTGAAAGCAGTCACCTGGAACTTGAATTACACTCTAAATCTCACCAGCCCTGGAGGACTGAGAACAGGCAAACAGTCCATCCTTGGGAATACCTTTACTTGTACAAACATCAGTAGTCCTGTGTGAAGCACTCTCATCTTACTCCCCTGTCCCATGGAAATTAAGCCTGTCCAGTGCTGCCAGCACAATAACAAGGGGTGTGGAGAGACCTGTGTGCACACTAAACAAGAGAGGGGCTGGGGATGGGAAGATCAGAACTCTACATAAATCATGCCTATGAATTCAGCTGGGAGAACACGGGCTCCCAGCATCTTTTGCCGTGCTTGACTTGGTTACTTTTCCACAAATAAGGTCAGTCAGGAAAAGCCTCCAAAGGATGAAAAAACTTCTGCACGTCCTCACAAAGTTTTCTCATAATTCTCTTTTCCTCCTCCTCCTCCTATCTAGAATAATTCAGAGCTCGTGGACCTGATGTACAGTGAGCCCTTGACAGCAGTGAAGACGTTGCCAGATGTGAGCAGCTGGAAACTGATGCACACTCTCCTCAGCCGTGATCAAAGGAGTGCAGTGCTGATGCACTACTTCATTCCCTTCAGTCTTGCCAATGTAACTCCCCTCTCTAAATACTGCTCTGTGCTGATCAGAAAAACCCACCTCCATGCTTTAACCTCGGGCTGCTTTACACACAGACTAAAACAACCCATACACTTGTAATCCTGGGGACATTCTACCGACTAATTAAGGCTTTCAAATCACCAAGTGCAGCAAAATTTCTGCCAAGTCATCATTCTGTTTGAGGGCCTGATTAATAAACATGAGGCCACCAAAAGGCACCTTTAGGCGACTCAGTAAATTGATTACAGCCTCCTCCAAATAGATGCTGATGGCACAACCACACACAGAGCTCGGAGCAGAGCGAGGTGAGACATGAACCCACACGTCTCCCACCCACCAGAAACACTGCCGTGGGCTGCTGCTGCTTCACTCCCTGACACAGAGCCCTGGCAGCAAAACTGAGCTCTGAAAGCCTCAGCCACGGTTACTGCTCAGCCTCGAGGTGTTCAAACTGAAGCTACAGCTCTGCGAGAGTTCAAGGAGACCCCTGTGCATCAGATTGGGCTCTCACTGTGTTTAAACTCAACCTCCTGCTGAGTGCCATCCCATGGCTCTGAACTCCACTGTGACCAGTTACAACTGTAAATGTTTTCAAAGGATAAGTTATTAACCCAGTGATGTCACCCCAGTTCCCCTATCGTTTGTGTAATAATTATGTCCTCAGAAATGTAAATAACATCAGGATGGGGTCTGCTTTCTCTCCACTGGCAGGAAATAAAAGTTGTTCTAAATAAACCTGTCCGACAGCAGGCCAAGATGGCTCTTTTGTTGAGAAGTTAGTTTCTTGATTTTGGGCCCAGAATGGAAGATGTTTCTCAGAGACAGTGGTCAAGTGCACTGAGGGTGACCCAGAGCTGGGCTAACAAAGGCATCAGAATGACCAAACAAATGCTCAAACTTTGATATTTAAATATAAAACCAAATAAAACAAAATATGTGAGAAATAAAAGGCCAAATAATTAAAAACTACCTTTCCTACTGCACACCCAAGGAAGTAGAAAATCTAAAGTAACATACACAAGCTTAGATCATCATTACATACATCACCCAGGCACTCCATGGTTTTCCTCCTGCATCTGTGCTCTCCTTGGATAATGTGCTGGAGCTCTACAGGCACAGGGAAAGTCCTGTCCTAGCATAAAGCATCAGAAGCTACAAAACAAAGCTGCTAAGTGAGCAGTAACAAAATATGAGGCTCAAAAAGCTCACCACGGTGAAAAGGAATTCCAGGATAAACTACTGTGAATAGCAGCTTAGTTATTTCTTGCCTAAAACTCCTTTAGTCCCAGAGGACTTGAATGCAGCCCAAGATCCTGTCTTTGAGGGAGTGCAGAGGAGGTCAGAAAAATTCATTAAACCTCTGTGGGTCCAGTGTAATGTTCACACTGAACAAACAGGTAGGAACTGCTACAAAGAGCAGGAACAGTGAGCTAAGTGTGAGTAACCGCAGTGGGGAAGAGACAAAGCGGATTTTATAAAGTGGAGTCGTGTCTCACACACGTGAAGTGCTTTGGAGGATTCAGCTCCACACCCTTTATCCACATGCTTTCTTGCTGATATAATTTTCCCTGGAAATTTGATCAAGTTCCTTTGCCAAAAGGCCTTTAAAGAAACTGCTCTGACACGGGACGAACAGGAGCAAACGCAGGGATGCAGGGAAGGGAGTAACTGTTAAGTTTCCCATGTGGAAGCCTCTCACTAGGAGGAGATTTTGGCCTTTGGTTATTACTATCAGTGAGGTCCCTCAATAAAGCCCCAAATCTGCTGCCTCAACATGCTTGGTGGTCCTGAAGGGAGTAACTAGTCGGGAGGTTAGAGCTCCAGCAATTCCAATGTGGTCACACGGCAACCAGCACATTCCTGACTCTTGGTTTCACAGAAGACCAGAGGCAACCACCTCCACCAAGCTCATATTTGGAGAGAAACATTTGCTTCCTGAGGCTGCAAAGAAAGTGAACCCTCCCAAGGGACCCCCAAACCTGCCGGGTCAGGCACAGGCACTCCAGCACCACAGCTGGCTCTCTCCAAGGGCTCCTCCTGCCTGACCCCAGGGGCCCAGAGCAGCTCAGCATGGCCTGGGGTGGGAGAGAAGAGTCATTAGTGGAGAAAGGCAGCCCACAGCCCCACACAGGGGACAGGCAGGGGCAGGAAATCCCCCCCAATAAATACATCCCTCGGGGAAAGGACATGAAAGAACAGGAAGCGCCACACACAGCAGTGACTCCCACACAGAACTACCCACCAGAAAAAGCTCTTTTCATTCCCACGCGAGCCCAGCTTCCAATCACCGCCTCCGACACAGCCAGAACACAACATTCAGGACCGTTCTTTCCTCTTTATTCAAGGATCTTCAGGATGAGGAAAGGGGATCTGGGGAAAGGCAGAACTGTGTTTTCTTTTTCCTCTTTCTCGAAAGGAAATTCAAATGTCCTGGGAAAAAAAAAAGGGGGGAGGATCCAGGGAAAAAAAAGGATTTTCCAAATTCATATGAAAAGCACTCCAGTAGCATGAACACAATGATGAAAATCAAGGTATTTAAAAAAGTTTAACTGGCACCCTTTTGACTCAATATATATATATATAAAAAAAATCATCTTCTGCCTTCCTTCTTTTGGTCTTTCAGTTATTTATTCACTTCCATTCTGAAGGCATTTGCTTTGTTTTTCCACACTTCTTCCATTCTTCTGGTACTACTGTGTCCTGGAAAGAAAAACCCAAAAAATTAACTTTTCCAAGCAACAAAGCACCTCCTTGCACAGTAAAAGTGTCCCCAGGACCCTCATCCTCTCTCAAAGAAAGCTTGTCAGACAAGCTGCCCAAAAGCAGCTCATTGGAGTGACAAAACCAGTACTGTAAGGGAAAGGGGGATGGAAATCAGGGAAGATGGAAATGGTCAGAAAAAATGAAGGTTAATTTCTGGTGCAAAAGGGGTGAACAAGCCTTTTAAACTGCAGAACTGAACAAAAAACCCCAGGCTGAATACAAAGCCTGGAGGTACCTCAACTTCTATTTTTAACAGGGCCAATCCACCTGCTGGGAATCGCTGGTCCATGTACACACAAAGATCTTCATGTCCCCAGGAAGATGAAGTGGTGCAATTTCAAACAGCACATCCAACTTTTTGGGGTTCTTTTGCCAGACACAGGCATAGCTACGGGTGCAGAGCTCTTGACAGTCCATCCCTAGGAGCTGCAAGGCCTCAGTGCAGGACCTGAAGGGGGCTTCTAAAAGGAGGGAGAGGGATGTTTTATAGGGGCAGATAGCGAGAGGACTAGGGGCAAGGGTTGAGATTAGATCTTTACTCAGGGAGTGGGCAGGCCCTGGCACAGGTTGCCCAGAGAAGCTGGGGCTGCCCCATCCCTGGAAGTGTCCATGGCCAGGTTGGACGGGGCTTGGAGCAACCTGGGCTAGTGGAAGGTGTCCCTGCCCACGGCAGGGGGTGGAACTATGTGATCTTTAAGGTCCCTTCCAACCCAAGCCATTTTGTGATTCTATGGTCTTCCAGGATTACTCACAGCCCCTGGGGGGGCTGAGACACAGAAAACATGCAAGCTGTGGAGAACACACTGGTGAGGCACTTGGTAACACACCACTAAAAAGTTGAAAAACACTGGCCCAAAGCAGTGTTATAAAGCAGCATCCAGGGACCAGAACAGCACCATCCAACACAGCCAGGATGCAAACCCAGCATTTGTCTCGTAGGACAAGTGACAGCCATCTCCAGTTCCTCTCCAGTAACTTCTTGTAGCTTCTTCTGTGCTCAAACACCTCAAAATGCTCCAGGGAGAGAAGAGACATTAACAGGTGTTTTTCTGAGGGACATGATGCCGAATTCTTCACAGGTAAATTCCATGAAACCATCCTGCACACTCCCTGATCTGCACACAGGTGCTGTCCCCACAGTGCACACCGTTTGTGTGGCACAGACTCCCACACTGGTTTTGTTTTGCACCAAAAAACCTGAGCCCCATTCAATGCACTGTGTGTGTGCCTGGAGCACCGACCACGATGGGAGAGCAAGTGAATGCTTGGGAGAAGCACCAGAACAGCACGTTGTGCAGTGATCTGTCCATCACAGGAGCCATCCCAGATGCTCTCTCTCTTCCCCACAGCAAACCAGTGCACTGAACAGGGAATGAAGCCCCCATGCACACACAGTCAGGACTGGGCAGCGTGCAGAACACTGGCAGTCCTGCCTCCTACACCACTGCAGGCAGAGCAAACGGGGACCTTACCTCTTGGAATGAAAGTAAACAAAGGGCTTTGTGCTGGTAAATGATAATGGAGACCTGTCACACAAGTGTATGGAATGGAGGAGGCTGGGAGCTGCTGCTGCCTGAGCCACCATGGCCAGGGTAAACCTGGGACTGGGTCATGCTCTCAGCTGAACGAGGTGGTGCTGACCTGGCTTTGCTGCAGAGCTCTCACTACCCTAAACAAGGGTGTAATTCAGCAGGCAGAGTGCCTGGCAGCTGAATAACCACAAGACTGTGGATGGGGATAGGCAGTACCAGCAGCAGGATGAGAACAGCCATTTCTATCATGTCCTCCTTCAGCCAACATTACTAGTAATTTATTTATGGGAACAGTAATGCTGTTTAAACTGGGTTTATTTCACCACCTGAGAGCTGCTTGGTGCCCAGGACAGCACAGTTACATGTGCACGTATCACCATGCAGATTGCAGACAATTAAGGACATCACACAAATGCAATTTAGTCTCAGAGAACACGTACTGCTAATATGCCAACCCCGCTGCAGCCAAGGACCAAAGCCCAATAAGTGATGTTGGGAGGAAGCAGCTTCAGCTGACAGATCTTTCTGTAAAAGGAGTGAGTGATGAGGTGAAATGAAACAGGCAGCATGCCCAGGAAAGGCAAAATCCAAAAAGGCCCTTACTTCCTGAAGAGCTGGTCACTAGCAAACCCCCTTCTACCGCAGCGTTCTATACTTTGCCAACCTACTGCTCTGCTCTGCAGCGATCCTGCCAAAAGGAGAGAGGGAGAGAGGTTCAGAGAAGACAAGAAGGAGGAAAGCAGCCCTGCTCCAGGAATCAGAGCCAGCGACAGAAACGCAAAAAAGCAAAACCAGGCCTTCTGGTAACTTCTGTACCAAGCTGGTTTACGCAGTCCCCCTCCCTCCCCACGCCCACCAGCCGCCTCCACGGCTTCGCCTCAAAGCGCCGCCGAGCTAATTGTCACTGCACCTCAGCCTCTCAGACAGGCAGGCAGCGCCTTAACAAGGAGGTGTCTTTTTGAACTTTAAAGTCACGTACAAAGGGTTTAACTTTAGCCTCAGGTAGAAGTTTTACTTTCAAATTCGCCATTGTAGCTGCAGCTTCGTGTCATTTGCAGTGAAAAAGCGAACGGACACCCCCTGCAGTGGTTTGAAGCAGGTACCAACCACCTGCATTTATGTGCTAACAGAAGCCCTGGTTAAGCAATGATACTTAGAAATTAGCTTCATTGTATTATTTTCCCCTAAATCTGTATCCTAGGCAATCTGCATTTAATTATGATTTTATCAATACTCTTTTAAAGGAAAAAAGGAAACATTATTAAATGACATAACATAAAATCCCAGTAGGAACTGTTATGCTAACAAGATAAATGCCACACTGGAGAGGTCCAAAGGACAAGGCTGAGAAAGCTGGGAAGACACTATGGAAAGGGTTAATTACATTAATCATCCTCCCTGCTAAAGCCATGCAAGTTGACATGTTTTAAAGACAACAAATCAATACAACCCCTTTTTTTTTTTTTTTTTACATCTCTTGTCCTGGTTTTAATGCAGTGCAATCAAAAAACTGAGAACCCAGGGATATCTATGCAGATAGGTATGTGGGGATAAGATTCCAGTGGCTCAAAAGGGAAAAGTAAGAAAAGCACAGGTCTGATGGCAAAGCAGGTCAGCAAGATCATCTTCAAATCCAAATGCTACACTAGTTCTAAAGGGCTAAAGCTTAAGTCTCACACAGAACTGTGTCTGGCAGAAGTGAAGGAGAGGGGGTGGTGTGTCCTCTAATCAGTGCACTGCACTGGAAGGTTGGGTCAGCAACCTGCTGGCTGCCCAAGCCACGGCAGAGTCATGAGGCACTGCATGGCAGAAGACACAAGTGTCCAGTCAGTCCAGTGCCAGTACAGGAGTGAACGCTGTATCCCTAATATCTGGTAGAATTTTCCCTGGGTTTGCTTGAGGGTGTGTTGCCTGTTGTCTGTTGCTGCACATGTGCAAGAGCTGTATCTTGGGGACAGCTCCTGCTCAGATCAAGCCCCTGTTCTGGAGACAGGCAGGAAGGTGGCACTGAGCACCCCTGCCCCACACACGAGGTCTAAGGACCCAGAGCAGCATCTGCTGCCCTATCAGTCACTGGCACATGACAGCACCATCAGCTCCTCCCCACTGGTGCTGAAAGCAGCTCTCTCCTTACCTCTTCACAGCTTTCTGAGCCAGCATCCTGTTGCCTGCCAGGAATGTGATGCCACCCAAAATGGCCAAGTACTTCAGTGTCTGGAACATGTTGAGCTGAGTCCAGTAGACGTACATGAGCCCCAACATTGCTGGGGAAAAATAAAACAGCAGAGCCCATGGCTGAAACTGCATTTCAAAGACCAACCATTTGTTATCCTCAGAACTGTACTGCCAGTCCCAAGCATTTGGTTTCCGCCTCACCTCTGAAGCTCTGAATGGCAGATCTACATTATTGCCAGGGAATTAAGGTGTCTGAGCCTCCACACATGAAAAAATGTGATGGACAGCTTTTAACCAACCCTCCTGTGGCAGAATTATGGACATATTATAGACATTAAGGGCTATTAAAAAGAGGAGGTTACTCTGGGTTTCAGTAGGGGATATTAACCTTCACACACCTGTAAGGGCTTACAGCTTTAGAAAGTTTCCATGAAACTCACTTGGACTGAGAAACACAAGGACATTTGGAATCTGTAGATCCAAAGTTGTCCCAGCCTGCTATGTTTTTGAAATTCCACCAAGACAGTAAATAACTGTGTGACCAAGGGCACAATAAAATCGATGGAAAAACTTGGTCCAGCCAAAAAAACCCAGAAGTGCTCTCATGGGAAGAGCTTTAAAGAAAAGATGTAACCTTTCGCCGCTAACAGAGTCCTGCAGGTTTCAATCCCCACAGAACCTCCCTGCTCTCAGAGGATAAACACGCAATAAAGAAAGTGTGACCTCTGGAAATAAGAAGTTCTATTAAGTACAGATAAATGGTGTGAGAGAGGGGCCTGGAATAATGACGGCTGTTATAAGCTGATGGCCAAAACAGGTTTATCACTATATTAACAATCATGAAAAGCAGGAAGGCAGATGGAAACAAGAGAACAAATGTTATGCTGTTATGTCATTATAGTTAATAGACCACGAGCCCATTAACCACAGGCTCTCATCTGTAACTCCCAGGTGAGGAGGTCAAACAAAGCAGAAAGCCTCTGACACTTACCAGCGTGCCCCATGTGAAAAACAATGGTGCTGGGAGCAAAGCTGAAGTTGGAGATGTTGGCACCTATCTTGATCCACTAAAAGGAGAAAAGCCCCAAATCTGAGTTACAGCAGCCTTGTAAACACAAGCTTTTATTTTAAACTTCACTATCTTTCCAGCCTGTTTGCTTTAAGTCCTTCAATGAATCCTCTGTATTCAGTGTATTCTCTACAGAAGCACTTGTTTACTACTGCAAGAGTAGTAATTTTGCTAAAGGCAGCACTGTTGAGCTCCTGTAGAGAAAATCTCTCCTGCTGCTTCTGACTGCTCTAACGCAGTTGCTCAAACACCCTAAACTGCTGAGAAAGTACTGCTCCAAATCTAGATTGTCAAGAAACCCCAAGCCCTGACATTGCTATTTCTATCCAGCTGAACTAATTTCAGTGAAAAAGACCGAAACAAAAAGGTAAGATTCTCATTTTGGACTCAGACAAAAACCAGCTACGGATACAAGATGCTTGCTCATAAAAACAATTGTAGTTTTTGGAGTAGAAAAGACAAAGGCATGAAGGATGGGAAGCGGGAACAGCAGCAATAAGATTTTTTATTAAAGTGTCATCAACGTGTATATTGTGAACTCCAGTGAGCAGAGGACACGACTGCCCGAGTGCCTGCTTTCAGTGAGACCAGCTGATGGGGAATTACTCTTGGAATCAGCTTTATCTTCCAAATAAGGAATAATTTAACTTGCCTCAGTCAGATTTTGTATTGCATTAAGTTCAGAACACTGCCCTAACGATACAATGAGCAGCAGTAGATTGTTTCAACTACAGATACTCCAATATTATGTCCATAAATGGGAATCAATCTGATAGGATTAAGTAACACAGATTTTTGTGACAGATTTATTATGTGTGAGGCAGAATGCTGTGGAAGTTTAAGTTATAAGTAACAATAATCTGCCCACTGTTATTCCCCAGCTAAAGCACAGTGAAGAAGCCCATCCACCTACTTCCACTTGGCAGCAGTGCGCTTTTGTTTTGACTATAAACTCAAACAACCAAACCAGACCAATGCTCTGCACTGACATTTGCTAGCTCTAACTGCAGCACTGCTGTGGCCAGTCATCATTAACCAGTTTCAGTAAGAGCTGAACTGCCCAGGCTCCCGAATGGCTCTGGACTGCACGGGGAAAGCTGTTGTTCCTCTGTGGCCCAGTTCACTCACCAGGATGAGCAGCAAAAGCAGAGGGGAAAGAACCAACGCTGTGAAAGTGTTGGAGACCACTGTGGGAGGCCTCTTCTCGGGTTCCCTGAAGAGGTGCTGCAAACAAACAAAAACCAGCTCATGAGTAGGACTATTCCAACAGAGCAGCTTCTCAGCTCCCCAGAGGAGCCTTGGTGCTGTTCCCAGACGTTCCTCTGGACGAGAACCATTCCTCTTAAGGCAAAGACTGACTCTTTAGTGTCTATTCCAGTCTCTGCACATTTGATCTCTTGCACAGTTCATTTTCCTTGCACTCACAGAAGTACTTGTTCACTTGACACCAGCACAGATGGCTGGAATGGAGCAGAGACCCTTCTGTGGTGCTTACCCAGTCACCTGGCCACATTCTCATGTTTGAATCTTCTCAGTGACACAAGATAGGACACACAGCTTATGTATTCACACTGCAGAGGACTGCAACCAAGTTCTTTTCATTAAGCAGTAACTCTGGTCTTCCTTTAATTACTTTACTTACAAATAAACTAATGAGAACTAATAACAACAGTAGGACTAGCTGCCCATCTCCACACATAATTTTGACTGTACCTGGATTTCAGGTTTGGGAACAAAGAGGTTCTTGGACTGAACTGTGGATGGTGCATCCTCTTCTGGGAACGTGATCACAACATCAGCCTGAAATGAAATCATGCAGCTTCATGAACTTTGACCTTAATGTATTGATAAAACCTATTCCATTACTGTGGCCTATTTCCTTATTTGCCAATCTACCACTGACATGATTTTTACAGGCACCTAAGAAAAAGCCACCAGATTTTTTAAGAAGCAGCTTCTCCTAAATAGAGGAAGTAATGCCATTCACCCAGAAACAAGAATTGGACTTATTTCCAGCAGAGAGAGAACAGAAAGGTTGAACCTTGAGAACTTGCTGTGAAATTACAATCAAACCCATAAATGTTCTGAAGTTTCTGCTCCACCACATGAAGCACTGAAAGTTCATTCCTGTCCTGCTGCCATCTTTACTTCAAAACTTCAAATGAACCTCAGAGCCCACAAACGGCCAGAAGGATTCTGGTTCACTAGAGAGAACAAAACACTTGAGCTTCTTTCTTCCAGATCTGTACCATGCCCTCCTGTTAGTCAGACTGCCGGTAACCTCAAAACCACATCACCCCAGTTCCAGCTACATACCACATTCCAGAGGATTGGATTTTCCAGAGTGGCATCTCCAATGATCAAGTAAAGAGTGTAGGTACCAGAGGCAGAGTCAAATTCAGTCTTTCTTTCAGAGGTATCCAATTCAAATTTGTACACGTTCTTGTTATCTGGTTCTGCAACAAACACCACCTCCTGGCCAGTCTTCTGGTTGTGAAGTCGGACAAAAGTCTGAAAGGCAGATTGTAACGTTCAAGGACTTTTTCAGCCAACAATCTATATTAAAAAAAAATCAGAAGTGTGCTTTTACAGTGCAGGCTCCCTGCCCTCACTTTGTTGTGTTATATACGACACAGCACCAGAGCCAGATGTTTCATTTAACTGACACACAAAACAAATGAAGTGAATCTCCCATCTACTGAGATCACTGATCTTCACAGACCATGGCAGAAACATAAAGCTTCTCAAAACCCAGCAAATCTTTTCAAGAGCAATTGTCACCTGAGCTGCTTCACGATGGAACATCCTGGTGTCCCTGCAACGACAGAAATTTGTGCTAACCTGGTGAGGGATGAGTTCAGCTCCACTGTTCACATCTATCAGCTGGAAGGATAAAGCAAAATTCTGATGGCTGTCAGCAGTGAAGGAGCCCTTGGCTTTGGCTGGGTAAGCTACCCTAGAAGTTAAGAACCAAAGAGGACTCAGGTGAATCTCCAAGAGAAGGTCTGGTGTTGAAAGAAAACCGGGCTCCCCTCTGGAGCCCTTAAGGGATCACGCCCCCTGTGTCGTTTTACCTGGTTGTTTTTGGTGCAATGCTCTGATCCTTATCCACAGTAGAAAGATCTACATTAGTAATCCCAACTTCCGTGGAAACTTTTACTTTCAGCTGCAACAAAACACAACAGACAGTTACTCAGAGCACTCTACATACACCAGTTATGGTGAAGTTCACTGCAGATGCTTTAGGCCCTGTGTCCCCCTTCAACAAAAGGGGACTTACACTAAGCCCAAGACAGAGTCTAACCTGAACACAATGATCTATAGCAATTTACCTTCTGGCAAAGCTCCTGCAGCAGCCACTAACCCTAAGCCACCTTCTTCCTTCCTGCACAAGCAGCCAGCTCCACAGACTGCTTCCACCAGCTTCTCAGGCATGCTGGAATTAGCTGGCCTTTGGAGAACTGTTTTTAATGAAACAGGCCAACTATCCAGACGCAGCTAGTTTTCCTTTTGAACTAGCAGAAACCAGCTATTAAAGACTACATCACGTGTTGTACAACTTAAAACTGCATGTGCATATGTACTCCTGCTTTGGACAGCAACTGGAGACGAGGGGTCTCCAGACAGCAACCAGCTCTGTCTCCCTGGGCTCCTAAAGCCCAACAGGTTTCTGCTGATTTTATTACCAGCAGGCGAACGCCAAAGCATTCTTGCAGCCCTGCACTTTGTTCAGCAAGCTTTCCTTCAGTCCCAGCGTTTATCACTCAGTGCTGGGCAGCCAATAAAGCCCTGTCATTTATCACACTCCTTCTGCTAAGTGCAGTATAAACCCTGGGCAGAGAAACGACTTCCTGCCTCTCCCCAGCCCCAAACCACAGCCCATGCAGGCAGTGAGCCTCGGTGGGTTTGCCTGACTTCAATCCTTCTCTCAAACATAAGCAGTTACTGCAGTCTGTAGTTTTTAATTAGCACATTTGTTCTCACAGCTTACAAATGCTCCCCTGGAGAATTAAAAGTTTCACTGCCAAGATATTTTTCATCTTATACTACAATTTGTTGTTACAGGTTTGCTCGTGTGAACCAGCCCCACGCCCTCAGCATGAAAAATAATTCACAGGGAACCTGTGGGAAAAATATGTAAAAACATTAACCAAAGTATTCAGGTCAGACTTCAAACACAACCATCTTGGCAGTTCCTTTGCAACAAAAAGTGTAATTTAAGAGAGAGGTTACCCCTGAAAATGGATCCATTAACATGCAGATGATTCAAGCTAACTTAAGCAAAGCCCTACTTTGTTCCAAGTTGGGAACAAGATGGACTAATGAAATATTAATTTTAAAAAAAGTGATGCGAAGGCAACTCAGAGCAGCTGCACACAGCCCCTCCAACTGCACAGTACGCAAACATCTCTCAAATATTTTAATGCCAGGAAATGTCGTCTCTGGCGGAGTAATGACCCACTGGTTTAGCTCATTACTGTCAAAACGATGGTGCATTAAGGACAATTAATGCTAATCACAGTAAGGAAAAAAAGCAGGTCCCCAGCAGTCCTCCCCCGTAACAATGTCTCTTATTAGCAGCGGTTCTCACAAAGCTGCCAGTGCTAACACATTCCTGGCGGTGCCTCCCTGTGCCAGCACCAGCTTAAGCGCAACAATCCATCCCCTCCTGGCACCCCTGAGTGCCATTACTACTACACTGGCAGCATGACTGGATGCTCAGAGTAAAGGTCACAGTTGTAAGTAAGTGTCTTCTTCCTCCACTCCAAGCTGAGTATGTTGGGAGACTTGAAAAGCTAATTGTTTCCTTAAATAGGTGATTGAGGGCAAAAATTAACCCTGGAATAGAACTCATTGGAGAGGAGCATTCTCAGCTGTTGACACTGAGGTGACTGTGTGAACAGTCACTGAGGTCACACTCTGCTCACTGCAACAAGCCTGAGGAAAGGAAAACTGAGCATTTATATAAAACTGTACTTCAGAAAGATGTGGTCTAACAGCTTTTACCACCAAAAAGGGGGTAGGTATGCATGAAAAGAAGACTTCATTTCCATTTACTTTGGTCACTGCTTTTCCACTACAAAATCTTCAATATATACAGTTCAGAGACGCCAAAAAAATCCCTCAACCCTTTTCTAGGGCTCTAGAGCTTATACAAACAGACAACAACGATACTCAGCCTCCACACGAGGCAATCACCAGACAACTGATAGCCAAGCCTTGAGATTTACAGGCTCAAATCCAGAATGCTCTGAAGAACTAAAACTCTTAATAATTTCTGCACAGCTACTTTGGGTTGCCACATAAACACTTCCATTGTTACCCTTTGTTCTACGCTGTCAGATCAGCATCTCACTAAGTCAGGTTTGAAATATACACAAATCCCTTTTGATCATATATTAATCTGGTTATTGGTCATAATCCTGAGCCAAAAGCCAAAGTATTACAGAAAAACATGTGATAAAAATCCCATACAACTGGCAACATCCTTCATGGATATAAATAAAAAGCTGTTTCAGTGAACAGGCACAGAATTAAAATGCCATAAAAGAGCACACCCACCTCCACTTTGTTAGCAATAAATCGCTTATCTCCATCTACACTGATGGAGAAGTCATAATATCCACTTGCAGGTTTCACATTCATGAAGTTCAGCTCAAAGAAATCTCTGCAACAAAAAAACCCAAGGTGTTAAGAAGCCCCCAGATACGCAACACTAAGCAGGTAAAACCCCACAATATAAAACTGACATTGCAAAGTGCAGGAGGAAGAGAATTCTTCAAAGCTCCCCCTTTTCTTACCCTGACAGAACAAATGGTGTCTGCTGAAGGACAGTGGCTTTGCTAGACACAGACTTGGCTTGGTCGAGCTTTACAGAAGCTTGAGTCAGTGGCTGGGACATAACATTGGTCACTTGTAGCTACAAGACAAAAAGCAGCACTTCTGTGAAACCCACTGTCCCAGCAGGAATGCAGGAGCACAGACAACTTGGTACCCTCTGTACTACAAACCAGAGCTCTCCCCTGCCCACCATCCCAGATTCCCTTGTTCTAACAGGGAAAGGTGAAGCTAGTAACAGAGCTGACTGACTCCTTGAGGAGTGTCTGGGAAGCCCTGGGTAAGCAGAGATTCCTAAGAATCACTGCACAAAAGCACTAAAGATCTACTGGAACCCGAGTCCTGGAGTTAAAATGACAGGCATCACCTTACACGCTCAGTCAGCCTAGAGCTACAACACTACAGACTGAGCCAACATCAGGGCTAAGGACTCACCCTGAGGACGGGCTGATGGTGAGACACAGCCGCAGGCCCCTCGGGGACAACAATGACAGGCAAGTGGAAGCGGTTCTGGGATAAGGAACCTGCAGCACAGGCAACACTGAAGGCCTCTGAGAGCGTCTCAAAGTTTTTCTTGCTAAAAATTGCATTCATCAACTGGATAATTTGATCCTGGAAAAGGAAAAGCAAGTCACATAAAAGCACCAGCAGCTTGCCACAACACTGCAAGCTGGCTCAGTGTAATGTTATTAATAAAAACATCATTCATAAAGACTGTTTAATTTTCCATTTGCTTTAAAAATAATTCAAGTTATTCCAGAGGTAGTTAATTTTGGGTTACCTCACATCACGTGTGCATTCTTATTCTTGGCTAGGAGAGGTCCCAACCACAATGGCTGTAACTGTGCTAGAAACTCACAGACCTGGAATTTGGGTCCCCCCCCTCCAAACAACTCGTTTTGGATCAGATGTTGTCAGCTCAACTACCCACGCTGCATGTGGCTGCAAAAAGACACCTGGGCTCCAGGAGCTTCACAACTGTCCTCATACAGAGGAGTGCCACACTCTGCAGGCTATGCCTCATTATTCAGCTCCTTCCATCGCTCCCTGCCAGTCTGGAAAAGGGGGATTGGCTACTTATGCTTTGATCCAAGCAAAGAATTGTGGGGTAAATTCTAATCAGAATGAGAATAATCAAAGACAATCCCCAAAAAAGTAATAGGCACACAACTTAGTGACCTACAAAGAACACTTTTACATAAAATCCACTGCATCTCAATTTTTCACTCTCCTGCTCGTACTGATGAGCACCAAACAAAATCACAACTGGAGAAAGCAGTCAGACAAATGCTACAGAAGTCCTGCACAGTGCAAATCCTGCAGTGTTCTTCATTTCTGTGGAGGGTATAGCATCGCTCCAGACACGAATCAGCAACTGATACTCTCATTAAATTTGGGGGTGAAAAAGGGAGTTATTTTTTCAAGTACTACATATTGTTTTTTAAAGACAGTTTTGTGGTATTCCAGAGGCACTCTCACCATTCACCAGAGATAAAGATTTTAAGCCCCAGCAACACCACTTCTGGCAGCACAATTCTGAAACAACACTAAACAATTGTCCTTAATTGGCCTTTTTTTTAAGTATCATTTTGATGCTGACAGTTTGAATTGTGTGTAGCAGAATCACCACCTCAAAAATGACATCAGAAGTGCTTTGCATTAGTTTGTTTGGAAGCAGTGTGGAAGAGAGCCAGGAATGAACTCAGATGTCTTACAGTGGCTTCAGTCTCAACCCTGCCCCTTCAGCTCATGCTTTAGGGAGCTGTGATTCTCAATCCAAAGTACATCTAACTCTGTTAAATTGGTGTGGGAAAAAAAATCACCAAGTGGATAGCTTGCACTAATGATTTCTAGCTTAACCAAACTCAGAAGAAATTTCCAACAGTCTTTCATTTTAGACAAGTTTTTGCTTTCCTTCTACACATTTGAAAAAAAAGGAAAAAATCAAACCAAATTCTGCCTGTGCTCTTGAAGTTGGAATTTCCTCTTAGGCTCTGTTCCTTAGCACTCCCTATGAGATGTCCCTTTTCTCTGAGCGTGCTCATTATTTTTTCCAGCAGGAATTCCACCTGGTTACATTGGGCTCTTGCACTGCACAACGGGGACGGGGAAGATGCTTTTTGTGAGCTGGAGCGTGCATGGGAGGAAAAGGCAGGTACAGACCTCCTTCATTGCTGGCTCTGTACCCACGTGGTCTGACAGCTTGTAGGCAGCAGCAACAAACAGGGCAGTAGTCTCAATGCCTTCTTCAAACTGCAGGTAAACTCCACCCAAGTCATCCAGGCGAGCAACGAGATCCTGACAGAAGGAGTTACTAAAATTTAAATTGCATTCTAGCAGATCCACGGAAGTTAACTCTACCGTTAGGTCTGTAATGATACGTGTATGGGATCACTGATGTATTTTGTAATAGTCATTTAGAAACAGGAAGAAAGAGAAACCTCCAGCCTTTAGTGGATGTAATTATAATTAAATGTCATGACTTTCTATGTTTCAATCCACTGTGAAACAGATAAAAGAATTATCTGCTTGAAAGGAAGGGCCAAGCCAAGCCATATCACGCAGCAAGCAATTAGCCAGGCTGGTTTTTCATTTTGTGTTTCCCATTAAAATGTATTTTAGTACTTCAGATGTCTAGCAAAGTTCTGAATAATCAGAGAGCAGAGTGTGCTCCTACCTCGATCTCCTCAACAATGCTACTCAGATCTGCCTGCTGGGACAGGTAAGATGCCGTCTCCAAAGCCTGGATGGTTCTGAAACAAGAACAAACAAAACCAAACAAGTGTAGGATTATTCCTTCCTTAAAAGCCAAACACCATTTAAATCAAAGAAACTTCATTTTCTATTCTGAATGAAGTGTAAAACAGCAGTTCCTGCCTTCAGTTGACTCAAGACAATGAATCTAAAGTGATTTAGCATAAACTCAGCATTTGTTACAGAATGTCCCTTTAGCTGCATCAGCACTGCAACAAACTCCTAGATCCAAAGGCAAAGAAACCAAACTTTGATCCCTGCACAGCACAGATCCCAGACTTACTACTGAGGCTTCCAGGAATCCATTTTTTTAGTCCATAAAGCGAATATTAAAGTTTCCCTTTCTTCCTCAGCTTTTAAGGGATGCTTTATTCTCTTGTTTCACAGTAAAATGATGAAAAAATTCTTTGGTGATAAATGCCAAGATTCCTTCTGCTTACTGGCACGTCTTTTCCAGCTCACACTTCAGGCACCCCACCTACAAACAACAGGGCTGAGGAAGAGCACTGAGTCTGCTGCAGCCATAAATGACACAGAACCATGGCTGGGTATAAGTCAAAATCAGTCGTCAATCTTTTTAAGAGGAAGCTTCTTTGGGATACAATCTCCTTCTTGACCATTGTTCTTGAACTAGACTGAATATGTAAGCTCATTTGCAAAATCATACAGAAAATAGTCCCAAAACATATTTTTCCCCAGAGGGACAATAACAAAGTGAACAAATCCATCAAATGAAAACACAGCACCTACTCTACTACATCTGTATTACAACCATTAAACGTTAAAATATTCTTTACTCCAAAACCCAACTGCCTAGAGGATGAACAGTGAATCAGTTCTGTCAGAGACTTACGCCAGCACGCTTTCCTCTTTGCTGAGACGAGCAGTAAGAGCACTAAGAGCTTCCTGGGATGCTAAAGGAAGGCCAAAGCCACTCAGGGCACCAACAGCATGGAAGATCTGGGTGATGGAGGAATCCTCACTGACAGCTGCAAGCAGCAGCTCCCTGGTCTCATTTGAAATGGTGACCTGAAGAAGAACACAGAGACTGACACTTCAAAAAAAACCCATGGCCTCTCACCGCTGACCCCTTCCTGGAGCAACACACTTGTTGAGTTACTACAAGATTTTGGAAACAAAACCCTTATCATTCATTACCTTGTAGTGTAATTAATGAAATCCCTAAGTTTTGCTGTCAACCATTAGTAAGTCAGGGTAGTCCATGATTCAGATTTATCCTGGTAACCTGCTACTGCTTTTCACGTGGCACCACATCACTGTGTAGCAGCTGGTGGGACTGACGACAAACGGGGCTCAGATAACCCACCCCAGTTCAGCAAGGGTGGTCTGCATCTGTACCCAGCAGTGTTCCAGCACGAGGGTTCACATCCAAACAGTCTGTTATCCACCGAAAGAGTCTCTAATTGACACAGGTCCTGAGAATAAAATGTGCTGCCTTTTTTCTTAGCCACCAGTGTTTAACTGAGAAACATCCCCTCAGAATTACTTTGGACCAAACGCCTGTGCTGTATCTTTACACTTTGCCTTGTGTGCACTACGCCCAGTATTTACCTAAGGCACAACACAGTACAACCCACTAAAAGAAAGCAAAAGGAGAAGCCGTGCATAAAACCAGCCCAAGAAAAACACCAAGGCAAGCATTTGCTCATCACAGCGGTCTGCAGAGCTCAGGGCTCCACACTCACCTCACAGCCAGACAGGGCTTGGATGGACTGGGCAGCGTAGAAGAGGGATTCAACACTGCTGGAGTCCACATGAGACTTGATGAACTTGCAGGCAGCCTGTGAAACAGAAACAGAAGGTAACTCACAGCAACAGTCGAGACTTAAACCACTGAGAAGAGACTTGAATGATACTCTTAAGACAATTTCATGAACACTGCTGAGCATTTTTATACCCCCCGGATCCTACTCTGCCGAGTGCTGCAGAGAAACAAGGGTGGTTCCTGCTAAAAGATGTACCTGATTTTCACACAAACTCTACTGTGACCACGATTCAAATCTAAATTGAATATAAGTATAAAACCTGTAAAAATAAAAAGTCCCATGGGAAATGACCTGCTGGAAATCACCTCTGTGGAGAAGGACCTGAGGGTCCAGGTGGACAAGCATCTTCCACGAGCCAGCAGTGTGCCCTGAGGGACAAGGATGTTGGGATGCCTTGGGAAGAACACTGCCAGCTGGCCAGGGAGGGTGACTGGAACAGGCTGCCCAGAGAGGCTGTGGAGTCTCCTTCTCTGGACACAAACCCCATCTGGACATGATCACACTGTGCAACCTGAGAGGTGAAGCTGCTGCAGCAGAGGGGCTGGAGCAGGTGATCTCCAGCCACCCTGTCATACATGTTCAAGTGTTGTTACACACAGCTATTATTTTTCACTACCTCCACCTTTAAGTCTCACCCTGTGAAGAAGTGTGCTGTCCAGAAAAAAGCCTCACCGCTAAATCTCAACAACAAATAAATAATTACTGTTTGCCTGCAGAAGCAAAGGCTGTGCTATCCTGAACTAATAAAAAACCCAACCACAAGGACACAAAGGAAAGCAGCATTTCCCGGTGTAGCCCACAGGTGACCAGTAACCAGCCACAGCATCTTCAGAAGCCTCAGAGTTTATGGCGCAAATGTGCAACACTGAGAGAGAGACTGGGACCAAATGGTTCAGAACCCCTGTTCTAATGAATCTGTGAGGAAAGAACAAACTTGTATTTACAGCTCACGTGCACAGGTAAACACAATTATGCACGTGAGGAGATGTGCTTGTGTGAGGAAGTTGTTATAGGGGAAACTTGCAGTGTTTAAGCTAGAAATGCACAAACACATAACACAGTAAGCATCATGCTGACACCACAAGCCTTTGTGGTGCTGGTACACAAGGGACCATATATCATATACAGAAACAGCAGGATAGTGTGATCTGGCTGAATTCAGTAGTTGAACTGAAACAAACTAGTGAGAGCTCTGTTTAACAGGACAGCAAGGCAACCATGCCACAACCAGGGAACTTCTTCACAAGGCAGTTAAAAAAATGCTGATATGGAGGAGCAAGCCCTGCAGGCAGCATTTAGAAGGCAAGAAGTGTAGGAGCGCCCATGGCACTTTACTGCCCAGACAAAGAAGCAATTTATCCAAACAGCACATGTACGAGAGCCGGTAATTACCACTGACTGCTCCGGCCCTTGCAATTACGTTTCCCACACGGCCCTGTCCAAGCAGAGCTCGCCAGACACTCTCCTTACACCCCGTGTTTCGCTGCCCTGCTGCAGCCCCTCAGCCCCGCTCACCTTCTCGTCCGCCACCCGCACCCCGAGGCTGCCGAGCCCCACGATGGAGTAGTAGGCGGCCCGCACGTCGGCGAAGGGCCGCTCCAGCGTCGCCCGCAGCCGCGCCAGGTCGCGGGCCGTGAGGCGGTGGCTGGGGGCGAGGGCCCGGGCACTGGTGAGAAGGAGCAGGAGGAGGCTGAGCGCCGCCGCCACACGCAGCCGCGGGCCTGCGGAGAGACAAGCGAGTTATTCCGGGCCCTCCCCGCGGTACCAGGGCCGCCCCAGCCCGGCCCAATCCGCCCCGGCCCCGCCGCCCGCGCCTCACCCGGCGCCGCCATGACCGCCATGATGCCGCCCCTGCCCCCGCCACGGCGCCGCTTCCGCCCCGCGCCCGCCCCGCCCCGGCGCGCACCATCGCCCCGCCAGGGGGGCGGGAGGGACGGCGTGTGGTACGAGAGGACCTCAGCCCCACGCACGGCCGCTGCGAACACCGAGAAACTGCAAAAGACAGAGGGCCGGGCGGGGAGCGGGGCCGCAGCGAGACCGCGAGGCGACGGGCAGCAGCGGCCGCTCCCCCCCCCCGGGTGGCGGGAGTGGTGCGGGCCTCCCGGCGGGATGTGGGCTGCGCTCATTGGCCGGGCCGCCTTAAAGGGGCCGCGGCGGGAGGCGCGCGGGGGCGGGGTTCGTGTCGCGACATGTGATGTCGCGACATGCTGTGTTATGTCATTCCCTGGCGTTTTCACGCCGCCTATAGCCACACCGAGCCGTGCCAGGCCATGGCGCGCTGTGTCACAGCGTGTCGCGCTGTCTGTCGCTGTGCCGTGCCATGTCCTGCCACGCTGTCGTTGGACTGACACCGAGCCCCCCACGATATGAGCCCCCCCAAGATTTAAGCAGGGGTTTGAGTCAAACCTTGCAGTATTTAGCTGTGGCTCGGCAGCTGCAGCAGAACCGAGCAGTAACGGGGGACAGGCAATCCCAGCAGTGGGAGATCACAACTATCAACTCATCTTCACCTACTCCAAACGGATTTCAGCGATCCCCGCTTTAGAAGAAGTCTTCTTTTCCATTTGTTCATTTCTCCCCTTCTTTTTCCCTAAGTATCAAATAAAAAGAGACAAAAAAAAAAAATCAAGTGTAATGTTAAGCCCCACCTCTGCTGTGCAAAAAACCAGACCTCTGGATTTCCACAGGAATAAATAAAATAACGCCATCTATTTGCTCCATGTTGATTATTTCAGGGGACCCTTGGGAACGGGCATGGCCCCGCTATTGGGGTCCCCGAGTTCCTTCAGCAAAGCAATGCACACATCCACGGGTGTGCAAGTCTCTGGGGATGGGCAGGTGGGCCCCTGGGTTCGTGTCCCCTCAGGGGACACAGCGAGCCATGGGTGACAGACGCCCATCTCACTGCTCACTGCCCTCCTGGGAGGCCCCAAAATTTGGGGAAAAGGGCCGTGCTTCCTCCTGCAGAGGGCACTGGGAACTTGTGCTTTCTGCTTTCTGGGAGAGATCCCCTGGAGTCGGTGCAGTTGAAGCCATCAGATGAGTCTTTGGCCTTGCCCTTGTCCATGTCAGGAGATGCCCACACAATCCCTGGGGATGCCGGGACTCCTCTGGGAGGCTGCAGGATGGCTGAGCCCCCCACTGCCCTGGGGGAAGGTTCTTCAGGCACCACAGGGAGCCTGGCTGGCTCCAGTGCCTTCCTCCAGGGCTGAAACACCCCACGTGCACCAGCCCAGCCTCAAGAGGAGGCTGGAGACCCACAGCTGAGCTCTTCTGCTGTGACAGATGGAAATGTGAAGTGCTTTTTTTTTTTTTTTTTTTTTTTTTTTAGATGAGAGAGAAAAAGCTAAAGGCCACTTGTGCAATTAAGTGCCTTAAATGTGGATTTTATTTCAACGTAATGGGATGGTTATTGCGTATAAGAGAAGAGCCAGATGGTTGTTAAAACCACATTTCCTAAGTTCTAATAACTGTGCATTTGACTTGCAGCCCATCAAAAGCTGCAATCCCTCATTATAAAATACCTTAGGAGTGTCACCTGGGGCAGAGCCTCTGGCTGGTCCCTGTTGGGACCTTTGGGCAGCAGCACCCTCTGCTCTGGGCAGGATTTGGCCTCGGGGCACAGCTCTGCAGCCACAGGGTGCTTTGCCTGGCTCTATCTGAGCCTCAGCCTTGGTCAGCGATGATGACAAGGACAGAGGGATGAGGAGATGTGGAGACCTCTGCCAGCCTGGGGAGAAGGGCCAGGGCCCCTCCATGGGGTGCAGGGCAGTGGGAGGTGTCTGAACACCCAGGGCAGAGCTCTCCTCTGTTGTCCCACTTGGGGCCAAGGGACGTGGAAGAGGAAGGGGGAGGGTAGAGGATGGAGGGTAGAGGATGGAGAATAGTGGGTGGAAAGTGGAGGGGAGAGGATGGAGGGTGGAAGGTGGAGGATGAAGGAAAACCCTGGGAAGAACCTGGGGTGTGGCTCCTCCTCCTCCCCCGTGGGAGCCTTGATTAAAATCACTCAGTCAGGAACGGGGTGAATTTACTGCAGGTCCCATCCCACGCTGCCTCCCCACACCTGGTGCATGCAATGCACAGGATCCAAGCATGGATCCATCCCTGCACTGGCTCTAGGGAGGGCCATGCACAGCACCAGCCTCTGCAGCACCCCTGGGCTGGATCTGGCCCCTGTGCGTTCCAGGGGAGCCCAGGACAAAGGGAGCCCCCAGACCTGTGGGCTGTGTTGTGGCATCCCTCCCCCTGCCTGCCTGCCAGCAGCACAGCCAGCCTTCCTTCTTTGGTAAAGGCTCCAACAATTCCCTTTTTAGGCTTAATACCACCAGTCCTGGGAAGGAACTGGAGGACGATCCCCAGCCCGGCTCTGGGTGGAGGGGCTGCCTGCAGGGACACAGCCCCTGCTCCAAGAGCCTGCAAAGAGCTTTCCAAGACAACCCTTCTTCAAGGCTCTCCCTGCCTGGCAGCTCCAGCCCCAGTGCAGAGGCACCTCTGGTCCCTGCTCCACGGGAGCTCAGCTTCCCAACGTGCATTCCCAGGAACACACCTCACCCCGGCCAGCACGAAGGTATTGCTGTACTGGCAGGGGCCTGCTTTCCTTATTATTACTCCTGGAAAGCTCTCCCTGATGAATCCCAGCTGGGAGACTTTTTTTTTTTTTAGGTCTTATAAATTGTTGATATTCATTTCTCTGCAGAGCCATTTGTTCTCCCCTCCCCATCCTGCTCTGTGCCCCACCAGCCACCCTGGCAGGAGGGGTGAAGGGCTGCCAGGCTGCCTGAACCCAAACCTGATTCCCACCCCTGGGTTCCCCCTTCCTTTGGAGCACTGCCTGCTGTGGGGCTCTCCCAGTTAGCCCAGTCCCTCTAGGGACAGAGAGCTGGCAGGACTGGGGCTGGCAGTGCCTCCAGCATCCCACACCATCCTGACAGCATTCCCAGGGCACAGTCCCCACATGAGCCCCAGCAGCATCATCTCCTGTTAGCAAAGGGATTTACCAGCGCTCCCCACTTTGTGCCATCCCAACAACGCAACCCACACCCTGGCACTGCCCAGCCCTGGGCAGGGGGATAAATGGGAGCTGGGAGCAGGATCAACAGATGGGTTTGTTTGCATTGCTCCCACTGTACATGTTGGAACTCCCCTGTTTTCATGGGATGATGTCAGATCTGGGCTCCTTGGCCAGATTCCCTCTGCTGCAGGGGGAGAGATGGAGAGAAGGAGGTGGGAGTAGCAGCATAAGCTGTGGGGAAAGGGAGGCACCCATCCAGGACACCCCGTGAGGTCATACACCTCCCTCTCCATTGCAGGAGGTGAAGTGGACAGGTAAAATGTTACCACTTGACCTGCTGCTTTTCCCGGATCACTTTGGCTCCATGTCTGAAAACCCCTCCCAGTTATCAGGGCTCACCTCTGCAGGGGTGGCTCTGGAGGCATTCCCACCCGTGGGGCTGGGGGACAGGGTGGCCCTGCCCCACCTGGCCCCCGGGAAGGGGAGAATCATCTCTCTCACATCCCCCCTGTGGGCCTGGCCCCATGCAGAGGTGGCTGCTGAACCCGTGACAGCTTGTTTAGAGACAAAGCAGGGGGAAAGGGAACGGCCAGTTCTGCCTCTGTGAGCCCAGGGAAGAAATGCAAAAAGCTGGCCCCCAAAAGCAGCACCTCCAGCTTGGCTGCCCCAGGGAAGCCTCCCCCACAGGCAGCCCCCAGCAGCTGCCTGGGGATGTATCCCACCTCCCAGGCCTGGAGATGTTTTCCATGTGTTTGGTACAAGGAGCCACACACAACTCCTGGTATTCCCTCCTTTGGGGATGTGCAAGCAGCCCAAAGCTGTGCCCCTGATGTGGGAAAGATTTGTCCATCTTCCCCCCACATACCCTGGGAACAGTGGCTGGGGAAGCTTATGGGCACTGTTGGAAACTCATCCCTCCACACTGCTCCCCGAACAGGCTGGAAATCCAGAGGTTTTGGAGCTGGAAAGTCCTCCAAGAGGTAATGCTGTGGTCTATGCTAGAGTGATAGGAGAAGACCCTTCCCTTGGCTTTGGCAGCATATGAGTGTGGGCAGAGGGTGCTGATGGGCATGGGGAGAACCCACCACAAACCCCCTGCATGTGTCAGAAATCCCAGCTTGGCTGATAATATTTCCCTTCTGCTCCAGCTTTCCTCAAGTCCCTAAATAAGAAAAAGGCCCCAGGGAGCACTCAGAAAAACAGTTAAAAATAATTTAAAATAAATCAGAACAAATTAACGCAGAGAGATTGATGAAATGCACCCCAGCTTCACAATTCCCAGCCTCCAGTGCTGCCTGTGCCAACGCTGCTGGCATGGCAGCTGGGGCTGTGGCATGGAGCTCCAAATGCTTCTGAGCCCTTTTGGGAACAGTCACCTGGAGGTTTCCTCCTCTCCTGGCTGGTTCTGGCTCCCTCTGACCCCCAGCTGCCTGCAGGCAGGGAAGCACCAGGGATTTCTTTGCACCAGACTCATGCAAGGATAGCACTGATCTTCCCAAAAAGACCTTAGGAGTGGGGTCCTGCTGAAGGAGGTGGATTTTTGGGGCTGGGTGTAAGTCAGCGTGGCTGCCACGCAGCTGCTCCCGGTTCCCCCAGCCCGGCTTGGCCCCGGCTGGGATGGAGCTGGCTATCCCTGGGGACACGCTGCTCCTGCCCCGCAGCCGGCGGGAAGAAACTGGTTCCCGACCCTTTTAGCAACTGCAAGTATCAGGTTCAGTCTCCTTTGGTTCCCGATGTTTGGTTTGCTCTCCTACTTCATAAATATTCAACCGCCAGATGCTGGAAAAAGCGCCTGCGAATCCCCCCGCGGCGGCGGGAGCGGCGCCCGCGGTCCCTGGCC